TAGTAGTGGAAGATATTATTATTTTGGTAAGATATTGATTTTTTTTAGTATGTTTATATATATGTATATATAATTATATAATTAAAGTTTCAATTGTAATTTTAATCTCATACACAAGTATGAATTTATAATTTTTTTTGACTCGTTAAGCCTCGCAAACAATTTCGAATTCAAATCAAGCCTAAGCCAATTCGGCTTAAACTCAATTCATCAAATTTGTAACGAGCTCGAACTCAAATTCGACTTCAATAAAATCTTAATAAATAAGTTCAAACATAATAAAATTAAGCTCCACTTACTTGTTCACAACTCTATCCGTATGTATAATTTATTGCCATCAGACCAAAAGAAAGTGATATTCATACTGTATCCTGAATTTTTAAATGATTCGTACAAGGTTACTCGAATAGTTATAATATATGAAAACATCAATTAGGGATTGTTTGGGAAGAGTCTTAAAAAAATTAAAAAGTTATAAGAAACACTACAAAAAAATTGACTTTTTGCGACGGTAAAATACCGTCGCTAATACTCCTAATGCCGCCGCTAATACTTTTTGCGATGGCAAAATGACTTTTTGCGAGGGCAAGAGGGGGTCACAACTGCAGGGGTTGCAAAAGAGTTTTTGCGACGGTAAGTGTCGGCGCTAATGTTTTGCGACGGCATTTTTTACCTTTTTGCGACGGCACCGTGCAGTCGCTAATAATTTGAAATTTCTTGACTTTTTTGCTACGACCCTATTTTACCGTCGCTAAAAATGTTATTTGAGACGGCAAAAAATACCGTCCTAATAGTCTTTTTTTTAAAAAAAAAACACTATTTTTTGCGACAGTGTGGTGCCGTCGCAGAAAGTATAAAAAATATGAAATTTTCTATTTTTTGCGACAGTGTAATGCCGTTGCAAAAAATATTAAAAAATAATAAAATTTTTATTTTAAATAATAAAATTTCTATTTTTTGTGACAGTATAATGTCGTCGCAAAAAGTAAAACCTATAACAAAATTAATAAAAATATTAAAATTTTCTATTTTTTCTGACGGTGGTGCCGTCTCTCATTCTCTAAGAGCTGATTATTTACATTCCATTCACAAAAACATCATAACAGAAAATAAAAATAAAAATTGATCAAACCATCAAATTCAATATTTTACAAAGAATAATTAAACTGTACATGTTCATAAAAACATATTTAAATTATAAAATTCACCCAAATCATAAAAAAAAATAAAATAATAAAATAAAATCTAAAATTCACCATTATTTTCCATTTATTTAAAAAGGCCTACAATGAGAACTTTCGCTTTTGGAGATTATAGGGCAGCCCAAATCCAAGCATTCAAAACAAACAATAAATCTTTCAAAAGGGAAAAATATAAACATGTAGAGGATATTGCTGATCCTCTTGGTGGTGGTGCCGCCACTGAGTCACTGCTAACTCCGGTCTCGGTTGTTGAATTCAAGGCCGAGGCTGGCTGATCCTGCCCATTTCCCCCTTTGGTGAATGTTGTAGTTGAAGCCAATGGCAGTCCTGCAACATATAATATATAATTTTTCTTTAAGTTCACACCTCAATCAATTTAAACTACTTACAGGCCAAAGGAAAGACAAATGTCACAACCTTTGGTGAAATAAATTCTCTTAACTCATAAGCCTCAACAAACCTTTGGGAGGGGAATGCGGGAAGTCATGAGACAATATCAATTTCATGCGGAAAACACCATTCTCGTAGGGAGTTCCAGCTGCAAGGTTGATATTTGGTCAGTCTAAAAAATAAATACCTTTAATGATCATACAAGGTTTGAGAACAATAGATATTCGATAAAACTTGTGATTTCTGAGATTGAAAACGATAAAAATGAAGATTAGTACCTGTATAGTCGTGTTGTCAATTGGAAGGCACTTCAATAGCAAAATCAATAACAACTCTCTTAAAAACACTTCTATAATTTTTTAATACAAAAACACACGTAACTTAACATTTAGGTGTGTAAACCTTTATAGAAGAGCACCTTGTCACTTTTGTTTATATCATTTTGTTTTAATATAAATTTGGAGAGACACTCCAAATTAAACTTCAACCGTTAAAAAATAAAAGGACCAATGTCAATGACAAGAATCCTGTGCTCCACTTCATATTTTAAAAACAGTTCACATTTAAAACTTCTCTACTCTCCACTATCATCAATTCTATATAAAGAGCTTTCCCACCAACTATCAAACTCCAAGCCAAAAACCTTCTGTCAAAAGATCAAATTCAGTGACAACAACAAGAGAGAGCTTCGTTCAAAGTTTCAATTTCCTTCTACAATGCAGCATGTTAGAAGATCGTCGTCGACGTCGTCATTGGTGTCGATGCAGACTTCATCAATGAGAACTTCTCAAGTTCTTGCATTCCATTCCCCATCAAAATGGAAAGCCCATTTTGAAGCCTCCAAAGCAACTTCCAAACTGGTAATTAACCACCCATTCAACTTCTCTTTTTTTTTTTATCTGAAATTTACAATCAAATCTTGTTTTTGGGTCTGCTAATCTCTTTATTTTTGGGGGGTTTTGTTTTGAAATGAAGATGGTTATTTACTTCACTGCCTCATGGTGTGTGCCTTGTCGCTTCATGGAACCAGCCATTGATGAGTTTGCTGCTAAATACACAGAAGTTGAGTTCATCAAGATAGATGTGGATGAGTTAATGGTATTTCTCTTTAAATTGCCTCTCTCTCTCTCTCTCTCTCTCTCTCTCTCTCTCTGAAAAATGAAGTGCTGCTAATAGGTATGAATGAATGAATTGCAGGATGTGTCTCAAGAATATGGGGTGCAGGCAATGCCGACATTCATATTAATAAAGAAAGGGAGAGTAGTTGACAAGGTTACAGGAGTCAGAAAGGAAGAGCTTCAGAATAAGATTGAGAAAAACAGGGCTTACCATTATTGTTCTTAAAAAATTGTATCAATCATCTTCACCTTCATCTACATTCTACAAGAATCATGATGATACTCGCCAGCTACACGGTGTTTAAATTACATGTAATAGAATGCACTATAAATGACATTGCAATCCTCTACATTAAATCAATGTCCCTTACTACACAAAAGCCAAGTGAAGAGAACAAGAGGAACATCCAAGTCACTGGATAATAGTAGGATTTTAATTTTCTGAATAAATCATACATACACATAAACACATATGTATAAATTAGAAAAGCGAGAGTAATGATTAAAAAGAAAATCCTTAAAAATTAAATTGACATATTAAGGCTAAATATTAATCTTAAAAAGCTTCATTTTGCAAGACGTAACTTAAAATGAAAATATTCTACTAAACAACTTAAATATCAAAATGCAATGCTTATGACAACTTTTAACGATTTTACCAAGAAAGATGATTAGAAAAATGTAATTGGCCCTCTAAATTTTTTATACATTGCTAATGTAATTTTTTTTCTTAAATAATATAAATGCATATAAATTAAAAAATTAGTTTGAGATAATTTTTTATAAAAATAATTTTAATAGTTCAATGCGAAAATTTTAGAAAATTTGAATGAATAAATACGAGTTGTAAAAAATAATTTGATTTTTCAACCATATGATGCATCTTATTTCAATCTTCAATAATTTATATAGTATATATACGTGTAGAATTATTTGTGTTACCTTATGGTGAGGATGCAGTTAAGATCAAGTTAGACCAATCTAATATTTGGGTAAACTCTTCTTAATCCAGCCAACTATAAAGCCAATCTTATGGTTCAAATTATAGGCCACTATTTTAATTTTTTAATTGTAAATAATTTTGTTCAAATGTTTCTATAATTTAAAATATATATATATATATATATATCTTTATATAAAATAATTTAATCAGGATAGGCCATAGAGTTACTATTTTTGCTTACTTTCTAATTTGTACTTCAAAATCAAACTATTTTATTAGTCAATTATTAATTTATGAATAAAAACCCTGATCTAGAATTGATTTTTTTAAGAGCGCAACTTTTTTGGTAGGATGTAGTGTGAATATGTAATATTGATATTGATGTCATCCAATTAAGACAATTTGTTACAAGTTTTTCATAATCTAGTTCAAGGCATTAGGCAGAGAAGAAATCATGCATTATAGAATAACCAATGAGCAATGAAATGTGTAATAACCCTTCTTTCCCCAACATCCAACATCCAACATCTATAAAGGACTAAGAAATTTGATTGGTGGATTTGTTTAACTGTTATCTGAACTACTTCAGCAGAGGTACCTGGCCAAGTGGTTCATTACTTAAAAATAGTTAGATTCCTATCAGTTCCACCTTACATGTTTTTTAAACTACAACAGGGAAATGTGTTTTAAATAACACACTCATCGCACCTCAATGACTAGTTGATCTGAGAATTTACAAAAACAACTCTCTCCCTTTTAAGTGTTTGCAATCCATGATTTGTTGTTCCTTAATAAACATAATCAGCTAAGCAAAATAGATACTTCCAATTGACATCATTGCATAGAAACTCTGTCTGAACAACTAACCCATAAATAAACCACCAATCTATAGATCAATTTGGCTCCTTGATCTTACCAGAATCTAGCATGCATTGTGACCAACCCAAAAACCAACAACATCTGGGTATATGATAATGAAATCCAATGTGACTCCGACACAAAGTGTCAGTCATTTAGATCTAGAAGTTTGCACTTTCATAATTGATTTTTGACAGTGAAGCAAACATTAAACCATAATCAACTGCAAGTGAACTCCTAAAATTAGTCTAGTTCCACCCAGCTTCTCTGGTATGGATTACAAGACTGAAGATTCTCAAGGTCAATTTACAGAAGAAGATGAATTAAAAGTGTCAATTAATTAAATACACATCTCTAAGAGATTTCTCCAACCAACTAATGTAAAGTCAACCATCTTTGCTCTAGCACGCCTCTTAAACATGGTACTTTTTTTTCAGCAATAAGAAACAAAATGACAATGTATCAACAATTGTATGTCAACTAAACCAACTCAATTACAAATCCCATTATTACTTTTGCCTTCTATGCTATAGTTGGCTCTCTGCTAGACAAAAGGTGGTGTAAAAAGCAGACCATTAACCTCTCTCAAAGTCATAAAGCCCCCAAAGCTATTTTCAGTCTCACACCACATATATAGACAAGTTTTATAAAAAAGCAGACTATTGACCTCTCTCAAAGTAATAAAGCCCCCAAAGCTATCATAAAGAATTATAGAGACTGTGCTAATGCGTTTTGGGGAAGATTTTGAGAGGAAATTTGAACTGGAGTTCACTAACTGTCATGGTTATTTAAGAATATTCATTCATCAATTTTTGATTAATATTCATTCATAGAATCTGGTAAAACACCAGACATAAGCCAACAAATTAGCAAAAACAAGATCAATCACCGAAATCATGTCTCTATCTATCTGTATAACTTTAAATTAGCAAAAACAAGATGAATCACCTAATAAATCAGCAAATAGATTTCATTTTCATTTTGAAACATTGTTCAAAAACTCATTAAAAGCAGAGAAATAGGTTAGTATAATGTGTCAATAATTTCCTTTTGAAGAGCAGAGTGGCATACCAGTAAATAACTAGCATCGTAAAACCACCTAGAAAAACCACTTAGAAAAACCACCTTAAAAAACCACTTAGAAAAACCAGTAAATCACTAAGAAAAACCACTCCAATGCTACCCATACACTAGCACAAAACTAAAATAAACCACATTCTTCCAATAAAAGCATCTTCAACTCAATCGATACTATTTGTCGTCACTTCTTCTTTGTCGTCTTTTTCTCTATCGATACTATTTGTGTAGCAAAAAACTTTTTTCTCTATTTGTGTAGCAAAAATGTTTCAAACTTTTTTTTTTTCTCTATCGATACTAGTACTGCTG